GCTGAGGAGAGCTGTGGAGCTGGACCACTGCCCTGGATGGGCAGCCCCTTAGAATGTGGCCCAACGCTACACCTCCTGAGTCTCCATGCATAACACCCCCAAGGAGGCAGGTGAGGCTCTCCGGGAGAGGAGAAGGAGGGCCTGAGCCCCTGCCAGCCCCAGCTCCCAGCCCTCTTGGCTTTGCCACTACCACTTGGGTGTGGTACCAGGTCTGCTCATACTGACCTGATGTGTGAGCCTGAGGGGTCTGGGGGATCTGAATTCCAGACCCTTCCCACCTCACTTTGGGCCTGGCACTCCTCTGCTGCCAGCCACAATTTCTCCTACTAAATACACAGACAGCACAGGAACATTTAACTTGAAGCTCTCTCTCCGTGTGCCCAGTTTTACACAGCCCTCATGGCCTCAAGCAGCCTACTGCCTTTCTTCTTCTTGCCCCCGTCTAGGACGGACTCCCCTGTTGGCTCAGTCCCCACCCCGTGCCAGCATATTAATCCACTAATGGCTAAATTGCTCTTCAGCAACTTGAGTTTCTTTTCCCACCGAAGTCCTCCAGGATTGTTTCTGTGGCATCCTACAGGTGGACGATTTGGGTCACACTTAATTGTGGAATCAGCTTTGGGCCACTTCACAGCTGTGATGTAGCATGTCCCTTGGTGTAAAAATCTTCAAGGTCAGGAGTTGGGTTTTCAATTCTCCTGTTACTCTCCCTTCTCTGCAGAAAGGCCAGGCTATGGCAGGCACAGTGTGATATCCAGGAGGGCTTGAGGGTGTAGACTGGGCTCACCAGCCTTTCATAAGATCATAGCTGCTCTTTCCAACATTTTTTAATTTTTGGGACACGAAGTCTCATGTAGTCCAGGCTGGCCTTGAACTCACAATCTGCCTGCCTCAGCCTCCTAAGTGCTGAGATTACAGGCCTGTGTTCCCCAAACTAGCTAACATTTCTAAGAGAAGCAAGGAGACCACAAGAAACTAGGACAGGAGTTTATCTGTTCTTGTATTAATCACCCCATAAAACCTGTGTTTATTTGGTTGCTGGCAGGCCCTTCTTCCTGGAGGTAGGGAGCTGTTATTCTTGGAGATACCATCCCAGGCCTGGGCCAGGGCACCCGCAGGAAAGAGGGTGAGCTACTGAGCACATGGGGACATGGCCTGGAAAAGCTGTCCTTATGACTGTATCTGGACTGCTGGGAAGGAGGGTCAGACCCCAGCTCTTAGCTGCCCACTCTTTCAGGGACACAGCCATCCTTTTGTGGGCTGGCTTGGGTATCTAATGTTTATATACCTACTCCACTCGCAATATGCCAAGCGCTTGAGTACACCTGTGCTCTGAAGACTGGGCAGGTAAGGTGTGGAGTCCCACACAGAAGCTGGAGAGGATGGGGGCAAGCATGAAGGGAGTTTCTAAAGGTCACAATCTTTAGGGGATAATCACCCCAAGAAAGACTGTCCCAGCTTCAGAGCCACCAAGAAAGGGAACAACTTTCTTAAGAGGAAAGATAGCTGCTAAGAGAGGGGACAACAGACGACCCAGACATGCTGGGCAGAGTGGCACAGGCCTAGAATCTCAGCGCTTAGCTAGAGTAAGGCCAGAGTCCCCTTAGAGGCCCCAGAGGGATCCATGCCTTCGCCCCACCCAACTCCTCCCCTTCGCTCTTCCTTCCCCCTCTGACTCTTGTTTTTTTCTTTTTTTACACACACAAATCAATTTAGGAAGAGCAAAAAGAAGAGCTATTTTAATCTGCTAATTGACTTTAGGGGCCATAATCCCTGTTTGAAAATGCCAGGGATTGTGGTGATTTATGGCTGGGATGGCAATCAGAGGCCCCAGCCTTATCGAGTGTGCACAACTGCCTTCAGGCAGATCCGGGGCAAGTGAGCCACTCTGAGCAAACCCATGTATAGTCACAGCAGGCGTGTGGGTCAGGCTGGCATGGGCAGCCTGGGCTCCAGCGCCAGCACGAGGCCTGCTGCTGCTTCGTCTCCAGCTTCAGCCCCTACCTACCCCCAGTGCCCTGAAGGTCGGAGCCCCAAAGTCACTAGGCACAAGGCCCCCTCATTCACACCTCTCCGGTCTCCTGGAATGTGTAAGGTTCAGCTTGAGCTTCCTCTCTCAAGAAGCCTATCTGGATTCTACCGCCACAGACGTGAGCCACCTTTAACTTCTGCCTCCTTTTCCGTTCAAACCTGCCGAAGGGCCATGGGAAAGGCACCACTTTATCGTGGAACTCCTTGTTCAGACCCAGCTCGGCCACATCCCTACATGGGCAGACCGGGCCTTCTACAGACCTCAGTCTTCTCCCTGCCAAATGGGGATGAAAAACACTCTTCTAGGCCTGCGGAGAGGTTAAGTGAGCTAACGATGGAAACATCTGGGCAGATGAGAGGGATTCTATGACCTCAGAGGTTAGCAATTTACTCCCCTCCCAGGTTTACGTTGATTGAGTCCTGGTGCCTCCTTTGTCTCCCTAACTGTCCAGGGAGCCTGGAACTCTCCGAGGGTAGGCTGGTCTCCTTTGGTCCCACCCACCTGTCCTTTTCTTCAGGTAACAAGTCCCAGCCTGCCCATTCAGCCAGCCTCCACGCTCCCCTCTTGCAAGGGTGGATGAGAGTCTCATCTAAAGTAGCGGTTCTCAACCTTCCCATTGCTGCGACCCTTTAATACAGTTCCTCGTGTTGTGACCCCCAACCATAAAATCATTTTCATGGCTACTGCACAACTGTAATTTTGCTACTGGTCTGAGCTGTAATGTAAGTATCTGTGTTTTCTCATGGTGTTAGGTGACCCCTGTGAAAGGGCTGTTTGGCGCCGCCCACCCTATTCCCCACCCCTGCCAAAGAGGTCTCGACCCACAGGTTGAGAACCTCTGCTCTAAAACAAGCTAGCAGTATAAGGCCTGGGTCCTTCCTCAGAGGAACTCCTGTCCTGTGGAGAAACAGACACAAGGATGGGCTAAAGCTTCTCAAGACTTCAACGCTGTGGTGAAAATAGAATAGAAAGCAAAATTCTACCCAGAGGCCTCAGGGAGGAGGCAGCCTCCAGCTGGGACTTCAAGCCAGGGTAGGGACCGTGGGGAAAGGCGCTCTTGGCCAGACCTGGTGGCACAGGCTTATACTCGGCTACTTAAAAAGACCAAGGCAGGAGAACAAGTTCACAGCCAGCGTGGGCAGCCCAGTGAGAACCTGTCTCCAAATGGAGAGTACAGATCTCTCACTCAATGGCAGAGCACTGGCCTAGCATGCTGGAGGCCTGGGGGTCCATCCAGGTCTTGGTCCTGCAGGGAGGAAGGAGTATTCTTTGCTTAGGGAAGACAAAGAGTGTTGCTCCCACCTCCTTCACCCCTCACCCAACAAGACCTTCTCAAGAGCAGGAAGCCACTCATTCTCTGTCTTCCACATGCAGCAGGGACCTGGGTAAGACATGGATTTCCAGACACTTTTCCAAGCAGATGGTTGAGGCTGTACTGGATGAGTGGGCCAGTGCTCACACTTGAGCTTTGGAATTCTATTGTGTTACAGTGTGAGGCCCGGGGGACACCAGGGCAGCAGGAAGAGACTCCTGTGAGCCTTAGGTTGAGCACTGTCCTCCCAGGCCTGGCAGGGCTGACTGACAGCCACTACTGTGTATCAGCTGATCCGGATACCGCCGTGCTTCAGGAGTCTTCAGCGCCGTTATACTGCCCAAGTACACACGGGCCCCCCATCTGGCCCAGACAGCCTTGCACTGACTGGGATCCAGCCTGGATCTGTCTCTCCGGCTAACACACATAATTCCTGGCAGGGTAGAGGCCTCAGGTGTACCCAGTACATAGAGGGAGTGGAGGAGGCTGCTGGCCAGCCCGGATGCCCTTCTTTGGTAGCTGTCACCAGGAATAGCCCATTTGGGTTCTCAACATGTGAGCATGAATGCAGGAACACTTTTATTGACTTGAAAAACAGAAAGTTCCCAAACTGCGAGTTAATAAAAACAGCCTCCTGATGTTTGGAACTTAACACACAGGCTTCTGGCAATTACTCATGTCTTTGTTTTTACTTTCACTGCCTTTTTTTATGCAAGTGAAAGCATTCTGAAAACGTTCACAATTTCTAGGCTTAGAAGTCAGAGAGAGGAAAAAGAAAATGGGTTTTGAATCCCCCTTTGTGGGATTTCTCTCTGCGAGGGAAACGGAGTGGGGGTGGGCACGGAAGTACCAGGTGTTGGCTCGGTATATCTTTGATACCTAGGATAGTGCAAGCTACCTTATTTTGCTTCTTTAACTCTTCCCAAGACCCATTTTCCAGTTGAGGAAGTTGAGGCTTGATCAGGCTCTGCCTGTATGTAGAGTTCACATGCCTGCAAGCACACGCTTGAAAATATATGAACACATACATCAAGCTGGGAAGACGGGCTGGGTTATAGCCCATCTCCATCACCAGCTCTCTGAGGGCCCTGGCAGTCCTGGCAGATTCCATGGCCAGGAAGCCTGTGCCTTGGCGCTCAGGTCCAGCCTATCTTCTGATGCTCCCCTGGTAACCCTATAGGCTGTTTTTCTTTCCCTCTGAGGGGTCTGGGCCCGCAGTGCCTCCTGCTCCCCTCTCTCCTCCCCTTCCCATCGCTGCAGAAAGCTCTAGGGTAAGGATGGAGCCCAGGTGCCAGGAGAGGGCTCAGGCCAGGGCTGGGGAGACCATTCATCCACGAATGACTAAACATCCCTGACCATGAGTCTCCTCCAAAAGAGCCCCAGGGTTGCTAAGAGGTATGCCTAGGCCTCTAATGACAACTGCTACTGAGAGCAACTTTAGCCTCACCAGGGCAGGGACAAAGCTGCCGTTTCTGGTGGTGAAATTCGCACACAGCTCAGAAAGCACCCTGAAGGAGGAACTGTCAAAGCTGTGGCTGGGATCGGGAAACTGCAGTTCCTAGGAAAGCCCTGGATTTGTTCCTGGGCCCCTTAGCCTTGGTTACGCCACCAGCAGCCCCCCGGACTCATGGAATGGAGCAGAGGGATGGCACTCACCTAGCAGCTGGACACCCCGAGTGAGGCCGTAGACATCCACCAGGGCCCAGAGTGGGTCCGCTGTCCGGACCCCATTGAAGAAAAGCATGGCAGCCGAGTCATTGATGCGGTGGAAGACTCGGCCCTTCTTGTCCACCCAGAAGGCAATGATGTTGCCCTCGTTGGCAAACTCCTCAGGCAGCGCTTTGGCCCAGAAGCCACTCTGAGACACCAGGTCAGGGCAGGCGTACTTGGGCAGCGAGTCGGGGTGAATGCGGGAAGGGTCCTTGCTGGTGAAGCCAAGCCGCAGGGCCCCACTCCAGCAGCACTGCTTCTTGGTGATCTGGCCACAGGGAGGGAGTGGGGAGCCTCAGACCAGCCTCTCCTCCTTGGCCAGATGACCGAGGGGGAAGGAGGGGGTGGGCTCTCTATAGACCACCCCCAGCCAACTCTAGGGAGTGTCCTCACCCACCACCCAGGGGGCCTTCCTACAGGTTAGTGAAGGCCATTCCCACTTCTTGTTACCCAGGAAGGCTGGGAAAGCAGCGAGGATGAGAGAAGGGCAAGAAGGAGAGGGGGCAGGCCTGCAGCGGCACAGCGGGCCACAGGCCACGGCAGGAAAGAGGTCAAAGGCGGGGGTCGGGGGCGCCCACCTTCAGCCTGACTTGCTCGTAGATGAGCACCGGGCGGTTACTGAAGGTGATGGCATTGCAGAAGCTGGCCTGCCTCTTGACGGCCTTGTGGCTGAGGTCCATGAGGATCTGGGAGCCCTTAGTGTGGGGGTGGAAGAGCAGCGGCGTGGCCGGGAACGCCCCGCCTGACAACGCAGGCGGACAGTGCTTCTGCTTGTGATGGCATCGGTGAGAGGGGACCGGGAAGGAGCCCCCGATGGAGTCTGCAAAGGAACAGGGCCACAGCGTCAGAGACCGTAACAGGACCAAGAGCCAGCTCAGGCTCTCCTAGAGGAGGTCCGGGGAGCACGCAGCCTGCAGCATTGCGCGGTCACCTGCGGGGCCAGCTGTAGCCACCCATCCTTCAGCTGCCGGCCACGGTCTGCAGCCGCCTTCTACTGCGGTGCTTCTCAGCCTGTGGGTCGCGACCCCCTGGGGCCACAGAGCAGCTATCCTGCCTATCACATATTTACATCACAATTCACAACGGTAGCCAAAGGACGGTCACGCAGTAGCAATGAAAATAATTTCATGGTTGGGGGTCAGCACGACATGAGGAACATGAGGACAGTGTGAAAGGTTTTCATCCCTCCAGTTCCGCTCTCCTGCCTCCCTCCCCAGTAGCACTTGCCTCCTTCCACCATCACGCAGGCCGGCCTGCCACCCTGCTAACGCCATTCACTGTCACCGTCAGCACTCATCTCTTTTAGTCATGATCATTCATTATCTACCGGCTGCCAAGCTCTGCCCTTGGTACCGGAAGTACAACCATGAAACATACACTGCTCTTCCCCTGAGGCCAACAGTCCTTCCCAGGACACAGTACGTGGAGATCACCGTACTACATGGCATACAGTGACCACCGCCCAAAGAACTGCCGAGAGGCTGGCCTCTCAGGAAGGCCCCTGGGGGAGGAGGAGACAGGGCAGCACTGGGACTCACCATGGAGGACGCAACACCCGCCTCAGTGTCAAGGACATACTGTCCCTCCCTCAAGGCTATCCCCTCTGTACCTTAGGCTTTGCTCCTGCTCACCGCTGCCCATGCCGGTAGCAAAATTGGGGGCAGCAGACAAAGGCACCATGCTTTCTTCCACAGACACACTACTGAAGTGGGATAGAGGGTGGGGCAGGCTTGGGGGAGGGGCGAGCGCATTACAGATGTGCAGCTAGCAGCCAGGAGACATACAGACACAGGCAAGACAGCAGGACAAGGTGTCTGGTGGCTTCTCTGCCATTCATCGGCTGAGAATGTCCTCTCCGGGACATTGGTAGGCCTGTGCCTCAGGATCTGCAGCTTACGTGGGCTAGGAGCTAGGATGCCCTTTCTTCCCCAGGTCCTGTGCCCCATCAGTCTTAGGGAAAATGGGGCCTGCCCATCCTGTCATCCTAAGCAAAGAGCCACGAAGAACCACAGGGCAGAAGGAAGGAGGTGGAGGTCCTTCCACCTATGACCGGTCTCCTGGGGTATTTCAGATTTTGGTCCTCACGAGACAGCAACATAACAGTGCATCAAGACATGGTTAGCAGCAGGCCTGCACAGAGCCCTCCACTCTCTCCACGGGGGATGGGGAGAGACGGAAACGGAGGGGAGAAGAATGAGTGATGCTAGAGGCCTGGGAAGCCAAGCCTGTCGGGACACTTTGGTTTGTGTCACTCTGCATCTCTGCTCCCTTCTCTTGAGGGCCAGACACCCGGCTCCACAGCCTAGCACCAGCTGTGACCCTTCACCACACTCCTCTGGGTCTCTCTGGAGCAGATTCTTGAGTGCCAGGCCCCATGGGAGGTAGCATGAGAAAGGGTTGCTTTGCCCTCTCCAGGAAGACAAGATATTCTGGAACTGTCCAAAGGTGCAAGGGCTCTGACAGCCATCAGGCCACAGGGCTGGAATATCTCGGGATAGTGACAGGGGCTTCCTAAGTGGCCTCCAGGCAGCGTGGAGGGTGGGAGAGGTCATCCCAGGTAAGCGTCAGGGAGTGGCAGTGGCTCCAGCGTCCCTTACTGAAAGAGGCACCCAGCTAGCCTCACACACGCCTTGAATCTTAGTTTCCAGCTGCTGGGGTCGAGAGATGGCTCAGTGCCTAAGAGCCACTTGCCAGGCAAATATGAGGGCCCAAGCTCAAATCCCTAGTGACCATATAAAAAGCCAGGCATGGCCACACCACCAGCGCCGTGGAGCACAGAGACAGGAGGATTGCCTGTCTCAGAGACTAAGACAGTGACAGGCCAGGACACGCAACATCCTCTGGCCTCCAGCTATGTGCACACACACATGCGCGCATGTCCCTCCAGACACACACACACACACACACACACACACACACACACACACACACACACATACACGAAGCTCTCAAGCTCTCAGTCGTCTTTTCGAGCTGGGATGCAGCCAGACCAAGGTGAAAACAGGCTGGCAGTCTGCCCGAGAGGCGGACAGCTTCCACACAACGGAACACCACTCGCCAGCATGTTCCCCCAAGAGAAGTGGGGACATGGCTATGATCTGCACACAGCATGCAGCAGCCTGATCCACGCCCCCCCCCAACCACTCAAGCACACCTCTTCCGGGAAGGGGCAGGTGCAGCGGGCGTGTCCACACAGTGACGGGTGCTCTGGGGAGAGTGGAGGAACTTAGATGCATGCCGAGTGACAGAAGCCAGAACAGAAGGTCACCTGCTACCTGACTGCATCTCAGTGACCCTGGAGGGGCAGAGGTCTGTAGGGTCAGAGGAAAAGCCTTGGCCACACAGAAGCCTGAAGGAAGTTCTCATGTTGACAGAAATATTCTCTGTCTCAGTGGTGGTGGCAGTCACAGAACTTACATGGTTGTCCCCAAACCCATATCTGTTCAAAGAATGATTTTCACTGAGCAGACATTAGACTTCAGCAATAAGCTGAGGCCAGGGAGATGCTGCTTCCGGCACAAGCATGAGGACCTGGGTTCAGCAGCCACACAATGAGCTAGGCACAGCTGTGTGTGCCAGTCATCCCAGCACTCAGAGGGAGAGGAGCAGAGGCAGGGGGATTGCTGGGGCTTGCTGGCTGCCGGCCTCACTTCCACAAGCAGTGGGAGACCCTGTCTCAGGGGGGAGTACTTTATATGTCCTCCTCTGACTGCTGGGCACAAGCAAAATCATGTACACATACTCTATCCATACACACACCATACAAACACATAACATACACGTGTGCATGCTTACACACACACACATACACACACACATACACACACACATACACACACACACACACACACACACACACACAAACCAGGCCTTCTGATGGTGATGGTAGCAGGAAGAAAAACTGGAATTTCTGACCACCAAGGCATGCCATCACTTGGCCCCAGGAAGGGCTCCTAAGGATATAGACCACCTCACAGGTCCCCAAGCCAAGTTGGGTTGACACTCTAACCAAAGTCCTCTCTGGACCTGTGAAATAAAAGGATGCTGTTCCTGCCCCCGTGGGTGGAGACAAGCACCCTGGCAGCTTTGGTGTTAGGGGGTGTGAAGTCTTTGGGTCTACCTCGCCTGCCTACATTATGGTTCCGAGGCTATCAGGATGGCCATTGAGCGACTCCCAGACCCTCCTCTCCAGCTGCTGGTGACTAACACATGGAGACACCTCTTTGGTTAAGGTGCCAGGGCCACCCATGAGGCACCTATGGGCTGTCTTGTGAATGGTACCCTCAGAGGTGACCAGTGTGAGGCATCTGACAAGAGTGACTGCCACCCTCGAGTCACTGCTTCTGCTACCTCCCTCCCTGTCACAAATGAAAATCTACTGGGCAGAGGGGAGAGAAAGCACATTGAGAATTACTGTGTGCACAGCTCTGGCACCAAGGAGCTGGTGGTGGCTTCCTTCCATCACTCTGATGTTCACCACGACTCTGTGAGGCCTGCTCTGCAGATGAGTGAGTTAGTATCAGACTGTGAGGCAAGACTCAGGTTTGACCGTGCTCTTCCAATGTGTGTCCAGGGCGCTTTGCCCACTTTGACCCCAGAGCTCATGTCCCCCTGTTCTGTTGGAGAGAAAATGGGTTTCGCTGAGGAGGCAACTGCACCCCGGCAAAGGTGTGGCTTTCGGCAGGACTGAGGCCTTTCAGCTACACAAGCAACGCCCCAGCCTGCCACCAGCTCCCAGCACATGTACAAAGTAGGACCCTTTAGTGACAATCTTGCGGGAGCCTCCATGAGGCCCCTAGGGGTGCCCATGCTGAGCTAAGACTCACCAGCTTCCTTGGGCATGCAAGCTGCCAACACACGCCTGACCCTCAGCCAGCTCCAGCTTACAGCCCTGCCCCTCACAGGGTCCCTACCTCCCTGTGGGACACACACATATACACACATAGAGACAGACACACACATAGGCACCTACACATGCACACATAGAGACACACACATGCACACACATAGACACACACATGCACACATATAGACACACACAGACACACACACACACACAACCTCTGGGGTGATGACCTCGTGGCCCCCACCAAGCTGTACCCAGAATTACTGTGGGGTCCAATGGCAGAGCTGCCGAGGAGCAGGCAGAGTGGGAGGCAGCACAAACCCTGTGACACTTCCTGGGCAGCACCCTGACTTTTCCCTTTTCGCCGCCTGACACAGACCCTCAGAAGTTAGGTTACACCGTGGTCTCTCGGCCAGAGTGCAGAGCCCAGATCTGAGCTCAGTCCTGCCTGTCTCCGAGCCAGTCACTGTGGCCTCAGTGTGTGGTGTCTCAGCTTTCCCATCTGTGAAATGGGTTCACCACAGGCCCTCATGGGATCAAAGGAGACAGCATGGGGACAACTCAGCGGTCACTGTCATGTGACCATTGCCAGGGGTACCACCCCATGTCGTCCCACCTCCAGGACCTCGGCTCCAGCTGCTCCCCCTGCCCACGCCCCTTCTTTCTCAGCCCCACCTGAGCTTCTGCAGAACCCACCTGTCTTTCAAGGCCCAGCTGGGTCCCATCACTCTTGAGACTACCTTGTTCTAAACCTTGGCCCTGAATACAAATGCTGGCCTCATTTTCATCTCCTCCGAAGACTGACTCACTTTCCAGGGGAGTGAGGATGGGCAGAGCAAAAACTATGAACACTGGAAGCAGGAGGTCTTCAGTTCCAACCCTAGCCAGGCTGCAAAATTGCTGTGTGACTTCAGGCAAGCTGCTATACCTCTCTGGACTTTGAGTTCTTTATAAAAGGAGGCTCTTGGGGCTGG